TCGGATAACCGGCAAATGTATTTGAACTGAGCATGCCTAAAGAGAGGGGGCGCCGTTTAATTACAGACTCTGAGGCACTGACCTCTACTTGCAGACATGTTTTACCAAAATCAATGAACAAAGGAATCCAATTATTTATTTTTTTAAATCTCATTTTCAATTAAGACTTTCTTATTTCCTTAGTCAGTAAACGCCTAATGAGAAATTTAGGGGCTACCACCTCCCAAAAGGACACTTTTGGTGTCAGCCCCATTCCTCGATTTACCAGCTCTGTCTCCAAATGGGTACTGCGCCTTAATTAATATTTTTTCTGATGACCTCCAATGGCCATGAGACATGCAGGCCTATCTAGCTACATGCAGATACAACAATATTCTACAAATTCTAGGCTACAGGGAAGTGGATTATGATGTGGTAGACCAAAAAATAAGTTCATTTTGTTTGGGAATGTGTTCCGGTGATAGTCTGGTTTCAACGAAAAAGTAAAAACTGAGATATTCTTTACAAAATTCCTCCAATCACAAAAGCGGATCATTTTTCCATCTAATTTTTAAAGCTGAGATTGTATTTTTATACTAGTCTCCAATCTGTCCTCTGAGTTTTTTTGTAACTGAGAACAATTAAAAGACATCTGTGTTCAAATTATCCACTCTCTCGAGTCTCTATTTCTACCAAATTCTCTCTTTCTCTCTCTCTCTCTCTCTCTCTCTCTCACTACCCTTGATCTCCATCTCTTTTCCCCATCTCCCATCATATCTCCCCCCCCCCCACTCTCCTTCTCTCTCTCTCTCTCTCTCTCATCACTCTCTCTCTCTCATATCTTTCTCCTTCTCTCTCTCTCTCTCTCTCTCTTCGTCTTCCCATGTCTCTCCTAGATTTCATATCAGACAAAGATATCAGAGATGCAGAAGGTTTACTTAAATCTTTCTTTTTTATTCAATTTAGAACCATGACTAATATGCACATCAATATAGGCCATTTCTGTCATGTACACAACATTTATGCATATTCATTGAAATGTTGATTATAACCTTCCATGACCTGGTATGAATAAACGTATGAATAAAGAGTGGCCTACTAAAGGGGATACTGACTAAACACTGTTTTGTTTACAAACATTTCAAGGCTCCGACTTGCAGGCTGAGGTTTAAAACCAGCTGGCTGATCTCACATTCACATTCATATTCATATTGTCCGAACCTCGCAAGTCTTCTCATTCTATTATATCCCAAGTTGGCCACTCGATATTCAAATTTGCACCTTCTTTTTTATCTTTATATATCAAATTGAAATCCAACTATCACATACATTTATGAATCTTGATGTGCATCCCCTCTTTCTTTTTTTCTTCTTTTTTTTCTGTCTTTTTCCCCTTTTACCAATATTTTTTTCCTCCATATTTTTATTATTATGTATCCTTTGAGGGTAGTCATGCTATCAAGCTTTGTTTACTTTTTCAACCCTCCTGTTTGATGTTTTTGATTAGTTACAGTCAGCCTTACTTTATTCTACATAATTATTTTGTCATGTGTAAATTTGCAATGTTTGTTGTTACATATTTGTAAAAATGCAAAAGAAAAAGAAAATCAAACAGAAATAAATAAATCATATCAAATCAAATCAAAATATGCCTTACTGAAGTGCTTCTATACAAATTATTTCATTCACCTGTTACAAATAAATGTAGCTTAATAGTCAGAATTCAAATTACATGCATTCCTTGTTGCTAGGTAGGACAAAAATGATGGCATATTTGTTATATAAAATTGTGGGTATTTGCAAAACTTTTGGAGTTCTTAGTTATATAGTGCCTTCGTGTTGGATGCGGCCAGTTAAGACAATGAAAACAATGGGTAACACGTAGAGAACTATATAGAAGAGAAGCGCGCGTCTATTCAATTTTGCACGCGTTATATCATGCAAAATAAGGTTGTTATATTGCACAGTCGTGCAAATATACCAGAATGTTGAGTGTCGCGTGACACCATTTCAGCTAATGTGATACAAATACACCATCATCAAACTACTACTAGCACATTCTTTTGTCTCCTTTGTACATCAAAATGTTGAAATATCTAAGGCACTGCAAACTTCATTTCACTAATTCATGATCATCTAATAGACATAGAAAGACCTGCTTAGTACATCCAGGGAGCTGACAACTCCCTGGTACATCTTTTTGCATGACATAATTCAGTATAAACTCAAAGATCTGAGCGATTCACATTGTGAAAATTAGAGTGAATTATAAAAATGACATCCCTTAATCAGAAGAGGATGGTGATCAAAAGGCAAGATAACAGAATGCTCATAGGAGTATTATTTATGTTTGTGTCATATAAGCCAATCAGGAATGCAAACTTGGTAAAATATAAAACTTATTAAGAAGGCAAGTATATACAACTTCAAAATATGCATGTATCATACGATTGCATAATCATAATGATGCGAAGAAAAGCCTGGAATATGTATCATCAACATTATTGAAATCCAGTACTGAATATATACAATTAGAATAAACATCTATGGTACAATTTTAGCAGCATATTTACATGCACACTGGAATGATGTAAACAAATTGGATTATTTATATATAGTACTGGTGAATATAGTTCAACATGTCCAATAAAAAATCCTCGTCAAATTAAATATTACACTGATAAGTCAGGCATGTCACATTGACAAAAGACAAGACAAGTATCTTAATATTATAGCAGTATTTACACAAACAATGGAGTGATGTAAAAAAAATCCAGGAAATATTAATTACCCGAACTGGATTTATCATGTAGTACTGGTGGATGTAAATGTAGTTATGAAATGTATAATAAACAATAATCCATGTCAAATTAAATAGTACACTAAATCAGGCATGTTACATTGACAAAAGAGACATGTATCTCACAATTATAGCAGCATATTTACATATACACTGGAATGATGCGAAGAAAGTCCTGGAAAATATTTCCTCAAATGGATTTTAAAAACTAGAACTGGATGTATATCTAAATTTACAATCAACAATCCATGTCAGATAAAATGTTGCACTGATAATTAAGTCAGGCCTATGACATTACACCCTTACCAGACAAAGTTAGTTCTCAAGTATACATGTACTGAGTTCTATTAAGTTCGCTGACATGATAACTAGAGCAATATGGCTCTTAACATCTGGGTCATTTCTGGTAACAAATTCACAATGAAGTTAATTTATATTCTACTTAATATCATTTTTATTGAACATGTGCAATGAAATTGACATACAAGATACAGTGACCTCGCTTTGTGAAAGTTAAGTGGTATTTCATACATTGCATGCAAATCACTGATAACATCAAAGAATGGACAGGTCTCACATATTCAGAAGCCAAAAGATTAGCGCAGGATAGAAACAAATGGAGAAAGACGGCAAGAAGATGTGCAGATGTGGTTGCCAATCGCCAGCAACTGACAGTGGCAGCCAGGTAGGTGGTGGTAGCATGCTAAACATGTACTTTACAAAATGGTAAAAGTCTACAATACACATATGGGTAATTCCATAAATTAGTGACCCACTTTGTGACATTTTTGGTGCCCAAGTTACATACGTATTTGTGGCTCTGAGCAAAGATTTAAATAGTGGAGTATGATTGTTAAGTGATTCTAGGTATCGATGCAATACTTTATGCTTGGAAATCACTTTACGATTTCACTACAATATGTAAGTCATAACTCAGAGCCACAAATATGTGTGGGTTCCTTATGTAACAGGGACACCAAGTCCCCAATTTATGGAATTACCCATATACTTGATACATGCACAACATAAACTGTACATCTAATGCACTAACATCCTTGAGAAGGCATTAAACCACATTTGCCACTCTCCACCCAGGTACAAATGGGCACCTGATATGCCTAAGCGTTACATATTTGGCCATCACCTAGGATCAGGTTTAGCACTATTTCAGAAGTCATCGTTAATAACATTATAACTACTAGTCCCTGGTGTTGTCACCTTCTATTCACAGGCATAATGCATGATCATAGCCTAGTAAAAATGCATACAGACTGTAAAAAGTTGAATCTGGACCTCTTTTCCATTAGAAAGTTAGTGTGGAGCCCTGCATCATACAAACACAAAATCAAGGTAGAGTGTTACCAGAGTAATACTGTCTTACTCTACCCATACAACTAGACTTCATACTTTGGTTGCTTCTCTGGAATTTCAGGATCATCCTGTGGAACTCGTGACTGGATGGAAGAGGCTTACCTCTTGCACAGCCTGCTCTGACTACTGCTACCTTCTCTATATGTCTAAGAGAATTGACACAGAGTATCAAATGTATTGCCAACATGCTGCTCAAGAGTGTTCATCACCCATGGGTTGCTGTTGAGGGTGGTCTGATGGTGGTAATGTCCTTCTTGGATAGTGTACATCATCCATGGGATGTTGTTGAGGTTGGTCTGATGGTCGTAATGCCCTTCTCAGATAGCATTCATAACCAATGGGTTGCTGTTGAGGGTGGTCTGATGGTGGTAATGTCTTTCTTGGATAGTGTACATCACCCATGGGTTGCTGTTGAGGGTGGTCTGATGGTGGTAATGTCATTCTTGGATAGTGTACATCACCCATAGGTTGCTGTTGAGGGTGGTCTGATGGTGGTAATGTCCTTCTTGGATAGTGTACATCAAACATGGGTTGCTGTTGAGGGTGGTCTGATGGTGGTAATGTCCTTCTTGGATAGTGTACATCACACATGGGATGTTGTTGAGGTTGGTCTGATGGTGGTAATGTCCTTCTTGGATAGTGTACATCAAACATGGTTGCTGTTGAGGGTGGTCTGACGGTGGTAATGTCCTTCTTGGATAGTGTACATCATCCATGGGATGTTGTTGAGGTTGGTCTGATGGTGGTAATGTCCTTCTTGGATAGTGTACATCAAACATGGGTTGCTGTTGAGGGTGGTCTGATGGTGGTAATGTCCTTCTTGGATAGTGTACATCAAACATGGGTTGCTGTTGATGGTGGTCTGATGGTGGTAATGTCCTTCTTGGATAGTGTACATCACACATGGGATGTTGTTGAGGTTGGTCTGATGGTGGTAATGTCCTTCTTGGATAGTGTACTTCACCCATTAGTACCTGTTGAGCATCCGAGTCACTTGAGTCGTTCGAGTCATATTACCTGTAAAGGAAACAGAATTTGAAGGTTTGAAAGATGAGAAATAAAAAAAAAACTACTATTGGTATTATTGAAAGTACCAGTCTCAAGAAGCATTTTGATCAGTGAATGAAGAAAAAGAAATAAAAGAGAATACAGTGTAACAAAAATATCAAGAACACACACACGCACACACAAAACAAGAACACAAAAAATCTATGAATTTAAGGTTGAAATTAAAGCACTTTACAGTAGGGAATCTGTTCAATAAAGCCGTTACTGAATATTTTGTTTTGTTAGACAAGATATCTTTAATTATTTTAAGGTATACAGTATCACATGCTTCCTGCTTGGGTATATATCATCAATATATTTTCTTAGTATTCCATTGGAGGCTCTTTAAAGGATCATGAGAAGTCTATATGCTGTTAACAACATTTTATTTGCTTAAATCACATTTATTGTACTGACCTTTGCAAACCTAGGGCGTGAAGAAACGAGTCCAAGTCATAAGTAACTCCATTGAACCTGAAGTTTCCCTTCCTAATCTGAGGAAAACAACCCTGTAACATATAATGGCAACATTGTTTGTAAGATTTTCATCAGTTACAAGTGAGTGGATATATTTAATTCTGGCATATAATCTATTTTGTAGGGGGAATATACACTCAAGAGGTACAGTTACATCCCTTAAACAAAATAAAAATAAAGAAAAAAAAGAAGTATAGGTAGAGTAAGGAAAATTTCATGTGTGTGCTGAGTTCCATGGAGGGACTTGATACTTTCCATGACATGTGTCGAATGACCAAGATTGGCTCATGCTACCAACACAAAAAAAGCTGTTCAGTCTTACGCCGGAGCTCAATGACCCCAGCCACAATTTAATTAGATATCATTCTTATATGTGCTCTCATAATCCAGGTTACTAATAAAGGGAAAAGGAACAGAGGTGTATGTGGAGAGGTTCCCCTCCCAAGAAAGGGACTATTTTAAACTTAAAGGGATCGTTAAACAATGTTAAATCTGAGATGCACGGCCCTACATGTTATCAGTGTCTGTGAAATTGTGTAATATTGAAGCCTTAAAAAAAATCTCGCTTCAAAATGATCAAGAAGTGCCTCAAAAAAGTAAAAATCTTTGAGTGACCGGCTTTACCATACTCGTTTTCCCCAATAGACAAGTTCAAAAGAATAATGAATGGTTGAAAATGTATATTGCACTAATAACCTGCTTATTGTAAATTATATACACTAACCAAGGGATAAAGCTATTCTTAAATCGGTTTGTTTTACACCTGGGCAGACTCACTTGTTTACTTTTCCTAAGGTTTAAAATAGGGGTGGAGGAGCATCCTTCAAAATGAAGGGTACACCAACAAAAAAGGGCAACCTACAGAAGGCAAAAACAAGGTGGACAAGGTGGACTGGGAACCCAGGTCCTGCCCGAAAGCCTTGGATCCCAGATCATAACAATTAGGTACCCGTTTCCCTAAATTGGATAGTGATAAAAAAATATGCCCGTTATAAGTTATATGAAATAAATCAACACATGAGTACCTATTGGCACAGATTGGTATATTCCAGTTGACATTATATTCATCTGTGGTACTAATGCATGCCTCTAAATGTTAAAATCTGGTGTAAAAGTAGAAATAGAATATGTGAGCCACCATTTTGATTCATGCAGGATGAAAGAATCATGCTAACAACAATGTCGGAATAATAAAATGGCTTTCTAAAAATTTCTTCTTTACAACATACCCATCAAATCATTTTTTAAAGACAATTTTGTTGTTCTTATTCTAACCGCCAAATTAATGCTGTAGCTGAACCGCCGAACTGAACGGGAGTTTGCCGAACATGGCACTTCCGACCGAACCGAACCGAACCGAACGCAAAGGACTTTTCTTCACAAATAATTACATTTATAGCAGTTTTTTAATGTGAAATTTGTGCTGGTCGGAAGCAGTGTTTTTCATCAGGAGTGGGCAGAAGTCCTCCGTGCTGGTCGGGCCTGGCTGGCCAGCAACCTGCCCAGTGCCGACCGTCGTGGCTACAACGCTGATAGCAGATAGTCTTCAAAGAAATATGCCACAGAAATAGTGATATTCAAGGAGTTACTGGGTACGTTTGATGCAGTTATGAATTATGAGGGTTTAATGAGTCCATCATTGATGTTTAAAGATAGCTTGGCTTGTTATAAAACGTAGTCCCATGTATCCATTTTAACGTTTTAACAGAACATGCAACAGATGAAGTTAATCGCACACAGACAGTTACAAATAAATTAGTTGAACTTTGAATTAAACACTTCCATGGCATGCTATATTATCCATGACGAAAACTTGTTGTTTAAAATTGAAACCCCCATTTGACTTTCACTACTCCTCGAGATAAGCCTAAAGTAATACAAGCTATACAATGTAATCCCCCTGCCGAGACCTTGACGGGGTGATAGAGAGGGAGAGAGGAAGGGAGAGAGAATGCTAATTTTCACAATTAAAATTGTTAATTGTTATATCCCCAATTCTGGGTCATTTTGCTTCGTTCGAACTTTCATTATGGTCTTCATCTCAATTATAAGTGACTTTTGGGCATGAAAATATCTTAAAACAAGTTAAATATATCTTTCCTACTTCTCACTTCCTTTCAGGCAGAGCCCCAGAAAGAGTTTGTTTACACTATTACGTAAGATGATGAAGTGTACAGCTGCCATCTCTCACGCAGAGCTGCAAGGCTCTATCCAAGTTTTAACGAGAGAAACAAAAGTGGGGTCCCGATACCCCCCACCTGATTTACATTGGTGCCTGTGTTATAGTGGTGGGCTTTGTCAAAGTTTTAACGAGAGAAATGAAAGTGGGATTGTGATACCCCACGTGATTTACATTGATTCCTGTGTTATAATGGTGGGGTATAGTTTTAACGAGAGCTTTTTGTAATGTCCATCAAACCTTATATTGCAGTAGTCTAGACTTAGCTGGCTATACAGGCAAAATAACAAAAATTATGTGCGTGCTATTTGTTGTTGTTTGCGCTATTACTTATTAGTATCTAGTACCGGTAAATAGTATTGCCTAGCACAGTAGCAGGACCAGGAGTGATGTGTTTGTGTTGAATCACTCTGCAGTAATCATGGTTAAATTCTTATGTTAAACAAATAAAAGGTAAAAAGCTTGTCACCAACGTGATGAGCACTGTTGCCATTTTTAGTGATACATTTTTTTTCAAAAATTAAAGTATGATCTAGGAGTAGGATTCTAGCAGACATATATAATTTTTCCAGAGAAAACCACGACTTATATGTCATGATTGTGCATCCTCTTTAAGGTAATAGACTTCATGCATTATTGTTTCTGACCACAGTAAGTAAGACTAAGACTAAGAGTGTGCAACTAGAGGTTGGATCAAAACCAAATTATTTAATTAATTTGTATTAAATGATAATTTTGTTTTGCTGCAACATGTGTAATTTGACAACAATTCTTTCATAATGACTAATTGATTGTTCAAGTACCACAGAATGACCCCTTTTCAGATATTTTTAGAGTAGTCTCTAGAATTTATCTCTAAAAAGAATTTTTGGATTTGTTTGAAAAAAGAAGAGATTCAACGAAAAGAGGAGTACCGGTATGTGATATTGAGGCTCTTTTTCTTTTACCAAAATACCAGTTCTTTTAAGACCTCGATCGTCTTCACCTAACAGTACATACTTTTGAGGATAAACCTGCATGGAGCTTCTTCAAGGTTTATTTCTGATTTTATTAAAGATACAGGAAAACAAACAAAAAACGCCTGATTTGAATTTTAAAAATGTTACCGGTATGAAAGCGTCTTTTAAAAAAAAAAAAAAATTAAAGAATTTTTTAATAACTTTTATATCCCCTTTAAATTGGCTAGAGTTGCCCATTTCGTCTAACATTTTTTTTAATCATGGTGTAGTGTTCTTACTGTTCCAAATTTCAACACTTTATTTCTTAAATTCTTATAGCTAAATTATGACCCTGGTTTTTGTCTTCCATTATTAGATTTCCAAGAGGCAAGAGGTGATAACACACTTATGAAAAAATGGATAGTCAACATGAGAAGAGACCACTTGACACACAGCAAGTATTCAACCTTATGTTTTTTGCAGTTCTTGAAGAAGTTGGTCATGGCAGTATCTTTTCTTCATTGTCTGATCACATGTTTGACTAGCCAGCAGACTGTATTCACATATTTCTCCTAGGGAAGGGAATAGCTGCTGCTTATCCCAAAATCCACATGTATCATCTGGCACAACAACAGACTGAAGAAAAAAAAAATCAGTGGACCAGTTATCCGCAAGAAATTGTCGAAGTTTGTGTTGTTTAAGCATCAGTGACAGCGTGAAGATTGACTAGATTGATTAATCCTTACATTTTTGATAGCATTTTGTAGTTTAAAGCCTAAGTCCACTCCAAAAAAAAACTTACTTTCAATAGAAGCAGAAAAATCAGACTAACCAATCAAAAAAAGTCTGAGCAAAATCGGATAACTAATAGGAAAGCTATGAATTTTTTATTGACATTAAAAACTTTGAAAATCACTACACAAATTGGCAACTCACTTATGAGTCTGTGACGTCATGTCCTCACTATCCACTAATTATTTTCTTTATATTGATGATGCAAATTTCCTATTTTCTCCTTAAGAATCTTATTTCTTCACACCAGCATCCAAGTTAGATTAATATGTTTTTGTGTGGATGCACTAATATAGAGTAATTTTTATTTATATAACAAGGGAAACGCTCTCGGCGGTCTCGCCTGCATTACGCAATTCGATATGATGAAAAATTGAGGTTGGGACATTATTTATAGGCAGGGTGGGTGGCCCATTAGCAGGCCCCCAAAATTGAAATCCTCCGTACATAATCAGCATTTTGAAGTGAATATTTACAAAGAATCATCCAAAAAATTATTTACTATTACAGTGTATACATGTATAACTAAAAAAGAAAAAAAAGAATCATGTAGTACCTTTTGGATCTGAGCTCTTCATATACCAAAACCAAAAGTTGGTCCATATACATTGGCACACTGTGTGTGCATCCTGATAAATTTCTAAAACAAATTTTCAATTACACAGAGGCTCTTTTAATGCATTACGCCATTCGATATGATGAAAAATTGAGGTTGGAACATTATTCATTGGCAGGGTGGCCCGTTAGCAGGCCCCAAAAAATGAAATCCTCTAAATATAATCACATTTTGAAGTGAATATTGACTAAGAATCATCAGAAGAATTATTTACTATTAAATGTACCACGATCGATAACTTAAATAAAATATGACAAATTAATTCAAAAAATTATTAATTCTCATATTAAGTTGTGAAAACATAATCCGAGTCTACTGACCTTTGACCTTGTGACCTAGAATTTGTGCCATATGATTTGTGATACTTGATAACCCTTGGGTACAAGTTTCATGGAATTTGAACAATCAATTTTGAAAATATGCTAAAAAATTAAAAATCTTGATTTGATGCCACAACAAAGTCTAAGTTTGTTGACCTAAAATGACCTTTGACCTTAACTTAGTGAC